TGACAGGTTGGCTTTATCAAGGGTCCCCACTCTACACCCCAGGGTGCCTTCTCCATTTCTCTTTCCTCCATCTGCAGGCGGGGACACGACCGGCCCCAAACCCCTCATCGATTTGCTCCGCCAGCGCTCCCGCCCCTACCTCTTCTCCAACAGCCTGCCCCCTGCTGTGGTGGGCTGCGCGTCCAAGGCCCTGGACCTGCTCACGGAGAGCAACGCCATTGCACAGTCCATGGCTGCCAAGACCCAGCGGTGAGGGGGCCATATTGGGGTGGAAGCAGGGGGGAGAGGTTTGTCAGGAATGAGTTGTCCACTTGTGTTTGTTCGCTCACTTGTGAAAGCCATGAAGGTAATTTGCAAGTCATGGCTGGGGTGTCCTCATGGGAAACTGCAGGATGTGCCTGTGTGAGACAGATGTGCAGGCAGATGTGTTGCATCTGGATGCTCTGCATGCTGGGCCCCTCAAGCAGCCACAGTCCTGTGGAGCTGAACAGGAAATGGCAGAAGGTCCCCAAAAAGAGAGATCCCTTCCCTGCACAGGAGATGCAGATGTACAGAACCACACTCAGCCCTTGGTGGCCAGGGCACCTGGGGGAAAGAAAGACAGCAGTTCCCAAGGACAGGGGTGACAAGGTCTTACTCATCCTCTTGTTCTCTTCTCCAGGTTCAGAAGCAAGATGACAGCAGCCGGCTTCACCATCTCAGGGAACGACCACCCCATCTGTCCTGTCATGCTTGGGGATGCTCGGCTGGCTGCAGTGATGGCTGAGGACATGCTGAACAGAGGTGAACTGGGGAGGGAGTTCTGGATGCAGGCACATGCCATGAAGGAAGGGACAGATGGTGGTGGTGCCACCACCGTTCCTCCTCCAGAAGATGTTCTGCATAAAGTCTGTTAATTCTGTACCCTCCAGCTGCAAATGTCCTTGTGGTCCCACCAGACATTGCTGGCTTCACCTGGTTTTCTTTTGGGAGAGGGTTTATGTTAGGCCTCCTGTCGTGCCATGCTGGACTCCATCCCCATCACTAGCCCTAACCCTCATTTCCATGCTTGGGAGAAGATGCTACTTGAAAACCCTGAAGCCTGGAAATGTTTACTGAGAGGGGAGGGAGGATCCAAAAGCCTTTCTCTCCCCTCTTACCACCTCAGCCTCCCTCCCTCCCAGCCAGCTCTGACTCTCCATGTGTTTCCTCCCCAGGCATTTATGTCATTGGCTTCAGCTACCCCGTGGTCCCCAAGGGAAAGGCCCGCATCCGGGTCCAGATCTCAGCTGTGCACAGTGACGAGGACATCGACCGCTGCGTGGAAGCCTTCACCGAGGTGGGACGGAAACACGGAGCACTGCATTGATGGGCCAGCAAACACCTCCTCTGGCGCCCTCCCTGCCCACGATCAAGTGCCTGTGCCAGAGGAAAAGGCTTGAGCAGCTGCTGAAAGCAGGACCTCAAGGTGTTGCAGCCTGTGGGAGGCTGTGGCTGTTGCAGCATCCTGGCAGCAGCACTGGCAGCCAGCCCTTGTGTCATTAAAAGTGTCCTGCAGTGCAGCGGGTATTTGTCTGGCTCTTGTTTTGTCATCCAGGAGCTGCAGCCCATCCCCATCCTCTCTTGCTGTGACTCTACTATGTCTTCCCTAAAGCCTCAGTCCTGGCACTGAGGCACTGCAGCTCCTGCTCTCTCCTCCCGATGGAAATGTAGCGTTGCTGTTATGTCTGAGGTCATCTCCTTCCTCTGTGCTCTGCTGCGGGTCTGGCAGCATCGCCCCCTGGCAGCTGCTTTGGGAAAGAGAACATGGGCCAGCCAAAGCTCTGGTCCTCCCTTCTCATTTTTGGGTGTTGGGTGTGAGGCTTGCTTGGTCCCCAGGACTGGCTCTGAGGCTTTGCCTATTGCTGCACAATTCCCAAACCTGCTCTGGGAACTGCATCTCGCCCCAGAGAGGCCATCGAGCAGCGGGCAAGCTGAAGTGGCAGAGGCTGGCAGCATGGCGAGAGGGCCTGTGTCTGCCAGGGCCTGAGGCCAGGGGCAGAGCAGGTGACAGGAACCTGTAATTTTTCTCCATCAGCTGCAATTTTCGCACAGCAGAGAGCACACAGCAAGCCAGGATCTCGGGATTTGTTCTCCCGAGCTGTGCTGGGGTAGCGATTTAGCACTCGAGCAGGAACAAGTAAACCCTTGATATCTCTCAGGATTGCTTTGTTTGCATTGGTTTTGCTCCAGATGAGAAATCATGTGTGTCCTGCTGTCTGCCCACGTGCTGAACTGAGTACCAGCAGCCTGCAGCTAGGGACAGGCTCCAGCCAAAATGAAGCCATGCTGTGCTTGGGTGCCAGAGCACTGGGTCACATCAGCAAAGACCTGCTCCAAAAATGCCACCTCCATTGGATAGTCAGGGAGTGAGCTACAGGGCGATACCATGTCTGACCTGAACCAGAGCAACTGCAGAAGAATGCAGAAGTTAACCCAGGTTGCAGGGCTTTACAGGATGCAGAGGGCAGGGGAGAAACTTGTTTTGTATGGGGCTGCCACTGGACCTTGTTAGAGCACCCAGCAGCGGTGTGTAAGTCTGTGCCCATTTTATTTAATTTTCCATCTCTGCAGGGCCCTGATCTCAGCCTGCTGATAAGGTTCGATATGGAGTTCCCTCTGTGTGGCACCAGGCCCTTGCGATGCTGCAAACCCTCCCCCTGATCAAAAGGCAGTATTTTGGGAATGGGGAATGTAACGGGGAAAGGGCAGGGGGCTGCACTCAGGCCCCTCCTGCAACCTGCAAGAGACGCAGCTTCAGCCAGATGGGCTCTGGTGCGGTGGGGCTGAGTCCCTAAACCAAATCACTGCTGTTTTGAGCCTGATGCGTGAGCACACCCTTGCTTCCCTGCTACATTCATTCCTCCATTGCACACCTGTACCCAGCTAACCCCATCCCTCCGTCCTGCTGGTCCCCAGCCGAGGCCTCCCCCTCTCCCTTGGGCTTCTGTGGGCGGCCCTGCTGATGCCTCTGCTCAGCTCAGGGCAGCCAACCACAGCTTTGAAGTCTCCTCTCAGTGACAGAGCCATCACCCAGACCTCTTGCTCTTCAGCCACGAGCAAGAGCAGTGGCAGCCTCCCCTGGCTGCAATGCGCATACTTGTGCTTGTGTGCACATGTGTGCTCCCCGCTTCTCCTCCTCCTCTCCTCCCCAGGTGCCCTGACCTCCCTGTCCCCTCCATCTCTCCCAGGCCCCTCAGCAGCTGACCTCTGTGCTCCCGCTGCCTCCCCGCCAGCTTCAAGGCCGAGCTCTGCAGCAGCCTGCACTTTACATGGTGGCACAGTGAGTGCTGGAGCCCAGGGAAGGCAGGGGGGTCAGGTGATAGCATGCTGGAAATGAATAATGCAGCGCCCATCCACCACAGACACTGTGTTAATATTGCATTGCCAGGCAAAGCCTCCAGCTCTTTTATTTTGTCAAGGCCTCCCAGCCTGGGTGTGATCTGCAGCTCTTTGTAGGTTTTCCCCCAGAAAGCAGAGGACCTTTTGCTAGGGGGGATGTAGAGGTACATGCCACTTTTTGAAGATGCAGTTGCCACCCTGGGCTCGCCAACCCACTCCAGACCCCATACACTGCTCTGCCAGGTTTCCCCCCAGTCTAAAGCCATGTTTGATAGGTGTGGGGTCCCAGTATCTCACCCGATGTACCTCGAAGTAGAGGACAGGACTGTCCTGTCCCATCCCATTTCCATACACATCCACCCCCCCCCAGACACTTCCCGTCATGGGTCCCTGCCCACACCCCCATTTCTTCCACCCTAACCAGGCTGCCTCCTTTCAGTCCCAAATCTGCCCCCGCTCCCTCCTGATGCCCTGCAGCCACTCTCCATGCTGCCATTTCCACTCTGAGGTATGACCCACCTCCCCCTGCCCCTTACCCACCAGGACCCCTCTGCCCTCGCTCCCTGCCCACAGCCCTGCCCAGGCAGGCAGGGTTGCCCCAGCTTGGATGAGGTTGATGCAAATGGGGTCCAAACCTGCCTTCGGATGCTGTGATTCTCCTGTCCTGCATCCTTCACTGGAGATAAATGCCATATGAGGGACCTTGCCGGCAAGAACACATCCCCATCTGTCAGGCAAGGGGCAAAGCAGCTGCATCCCCCTACCCAGGAGCTTCAGTGAGAAACAGCAATGCTCACGGCCGCTTCCCACTTCCTTTCTGGAGCTTTATTTCTCCTTTATGGGGATTATCCCCCCAAATCCCTGGCCCCAGGTATGAGTCCAGATGGCTGCTCACCTCTTCAGGCTGTTTGGCTGCAAGAACAGGAGTTGGGGGATCCCTTCACAGCCCCCCATGGCCCCCTCAGCGGCAGAAGCACTTGCAGGCA